GCGGGAGAACCTGCCTCTCCCTGGCTGTGCCTCTCTCTCCCTGGCTGATCCAAATCTCTGAAACAGCATCCAAACTCTGAAACAGATTTGGCCAAATCAAAACGGACAGTAATCCAAAACACTGAAACGAATCACTGTCCTCCAAAACACCCAAATCCAAACTCGAAATGAGACATAGTGGTTTTGCACAGCCCTAGTGTTTAGACCACAGCCCAGCCTATTGCGACAGAGCTGCTCCCAAATCTCCCCTCCCACCTGCTCCTGCTGGCATGTGGCAAACCCAGAACTGCACCGGTGAAGCCATTCCCCAATGGTTTCTCTCAAATATATAACAGTAACTATCCAATACTTGTCTATAAAAAGCCCCCCCAAAACCCCAAGCCCTTTCATTATCCAGCCTGATTTTCATATGGAAGTAAAAGTTAGGGTGAAGATGATCCTATGACTAAAGTACAGAACTTCCTGTCCTTTGGCAATAGCTCAATAACTATATTTCATTTCCTCCATTCTATAAGGGGTCTGGAGAAATAATTAATTCATACTATAAACTTTATCTTTTGAGATTTCTGGAACAATGGTAGCATGAAGCATTCCTCCTCCTTCTCCTCCTCCTATTATAACAACCCTAAAATATGTTAGTCATCCAGAACTTTATATTTATAAAGTCATGGGCTGAGGAGGGAGAGATGGATTGAGGTAGTCAACCAAAGACTGTGGTGCTGATGTCATCATGAAGGCTTTGGCTTCCACAATCACAATCTGCTCTCTGGTGAGAGAGGCAGTGGTCTGCTGTGGGAGAGATGGTCTCCACCTCACTGTGCTGGGGAGGAGGCTCTTCTCAGCCAGACTGGCTGACCTGCTCAACCAGGCTTTAAACTAAGCCTGCCCAGGGTTGGGGGAAGCATCACCAATGCTAGCCCTCTGAGCAACCCTTGTAAATCCAGTAGGCTGAGGCACTTAAGGGAACCCACCTCTACCCTAGCCCCGGGATAAGCTGTGGGGAAGGCAAGGGCCCCCAATGGGACATTTTCCTGCCTGTACACCAATGCCAGGAGCTTGGGGAATAAACAGGATGAACTGGTCCTCCTGCTAAACAAGAATAACTACGACCTTATAGGGATAATGGAGACCAGGTGGGACTTCACCTGTGACTGGGCCACAGGTATAGATGGCTATACCCTGTACAGGAGTGAGTGATCATGCAGATAAAAGAGGTGGGGGTGTAGCCCTCTATGTCAAGGACAGCTACATGTCCCTCCAAATCAACATTGACACTCAGGAGGGATGAATGGAGTCTCTCTGGGTCAAAATATGTGGGGAATGTGGCTCAGGGGACATCATGGTGGAAGTCTACTATAGACCTCCTAAACAGAAACAAGAGCTGGACCAGGAATTCGCCAGGGAACTGGCTGAGCCTGCACGCTCTAGGTGCATGGTTGTCATGGGAGATTTCAACTACCTGGACATCTCATGGGAAGAGCACTCAGCCAAACCCGATTAGTTGCAAAGCTTTCTTACATATGTGGACGAGCTCTACCTTACTCAAGAAGTCTATGGGCCAATGAGAGGGAAAGTGCTGTTGGACCTGGTACTGGCTAAAGGGGATGACATAGTCAGTGACCTAAGAATCAGTGGAAAGCTGGGTGATAGTAACCATGAGCTGATCACCTTTACTGTCCATTGCAAAGCTGGCAAGTCAGTCAGGAATACTGAAGTCCTCGACTTCAGGAAAGCTGACTTTGACAAGCTCAGGAGGCCCATTGTCGAGGCCCTAAGGGACCACGAATCAGTGGGAAGAGGAGTCCAAGAGGAGTGGTTCCTCCTCAAGGGAGCGATCCTGACAGTACAAGAGCTGAAGGGATGGCCATCCCATCTCAGAGGAAGAGTAGCAAAAGGGCACAGCAACCCCCTCACTCAGCAGGGAACTCGAGGACCTCCTATGCCTCAAAAGAGAGACTTATGAAGGATGGAAGGCTGGATGTACCACCAAGGAGGAATACTCAGCACTGGTCCGTACCTGCAGGGAGTGGATCAGGAAAGTCAAGGCTGCAGCTGAGCTCTGTCTGGCTTCACATATCAAGATATGTAGGGAGTAAGAAAAAAAAGCAAGGGTAACATTGGACCCTTGCTGAACCAAATGGGACAGCTGATAACTGATACTCAGGAAAAGGCCAACCTGCTTAACGAGTACTTTGCGTCGGTCTTTCATCAGTCCAATGGGACCGCCCTGCCTAGCAAGATGTGGGATGGCCAGGATGAGGGCATATTTATACTCATGTGGAAATAAGTTTAACCAGGCCTCTGACTTGACTAAGAGGAGAGACAAAGAGAGAGAAAGAGAAGAGAAAAAGATGCTGATGTTTCAAAATGTTCTAAGATAAGAAAAAACCTTCATGCCTTGTTTTGTCTTGATATATTAAGTTTTGCGTGCAGATTTCAACCTCCTCCTCTCCTTTGAACTAGAAGCTGATAACTGTTCCCAAAACATAGTGTTTTCTTTCCCGAATAAGTAAACTGCTGACATGTGACAAACAAATGATGAACATCTTTCTGTTTCTCTCAAGGTTGCTTTGTCTGAACCCTAAATCTTTTCTCACTGTCTAAAGTATAAATACACTTGTAAACTTGTAGATGTCCCAATTAAGGGCACAATTTAGGAAAGCACTTGCATGCTTACTTTAGGCAGATGCTTAAATTTATTCCCATTGAACAAGACACTTCAGATTGTGCTCAAATCATCTGGAATTTAATTAGGGAATTGGGGTCTAAACAGATTATATCATGACACAACAGTTCAAGTAATAGACATCTTCAGCTCTTACAGGCATCACATAAAAGGCTGATCCCCATACTCTTTGAATTTAATGAAAATTTTTCCAGTGATTTGACAGGCTGGAGGACCGGGCCCTATATAATCCTTAGTCCTAATGTCAAGTGGCATGTTGCTTGCCACATCATTTTTCTCTGAATTAAATCTGTTATTCTCTTCGGAATTTGTGATGTGTTATCCTAAACAGATATTTTGTTTCAGAATGGAACCTGTTTATTTGAAAGTAAGTATTTGCTACTGCTAACAATGTACTGTCTTTTATTTTTTGCAGGTATTATTGATAGCACACAGGTGGAACAGAGGCAGGTTGTAGCAGTGACTGGTGATGGAACCAATGATGGACCAGCACTTAAAAAAGCTGATGTTGGCTTTGCAATGGTATATTTTGTAACATATCTTTTTGCTGCTTTTGTTGTATTGTAGATTTGCCAAAAGGAAGTTTCTCTGTTTATACTCTGGTGGTAGAGAATAAAGATGTATGTGCAGAAGTTACAGATGTCTGGCAGTGGTTTTAATTATGAGATTTTTGTGACACTTAAGAGCCCAACTTTACCTACAGGGATAAGCAGAGAAATCTTGATTAGCTTGATTCTATTTTTTAAATCAAAGATAAATATTGAACACATGCAGAATCCTAATACCACTTCAGGAAAACTGCATCTATTGCTCTTCCTACTAGCAGAAAAAGAGGAGGTAGGGCATTAGTCTGAAAATCCACCTCCAAATACCAGATTCATAGATGCTGGGGTCGGAAGGGACCTCAACAAATCATTGAGTCCAACCCCCTGCGTAGGCAGGAAAGAGAGCTATAGTTCTGGGGTCAGATGACCCCAGCCAGATGCCTATCCAGCCTTCAGATGTTAGTCCTCTCTATATTTTTTGGCAGCTTTTCATTTGAATCTGAAGAAATTTTTCATTCTCCAGATAAAAGCTGCTGCATTTACACTGATTTGTACAATTCCAGTTTCTATTGGCAGTTCTGTTTGTATATAGTAAAATATAAAACAACCCCAAAACTGCAATCCAAAAGGAATCACAGAAGCTTCTAGAGGTTAGCTCCCTCATTTGCTGTCAGCTGATATCTTTATACTTCAATGGTTTATGTCCTTTTGCAGCAACACCTGGTTAGAGCAACAGCTATTCACCAGCAGCATTTCCCCTAGGAATATTTCCTTACCATGTATCCAAATGATGCTCTCTACAACAGCAACAGTTGCTCTGAAGCAACAAAGCACCTGCATGTTTCTACTAACAGGCATTGACTGACACTTAAAAAGTTCATCATAGACTGTCCCCTGATCTTTACCACTTTCATCTCCTTCTTGTTCTAAACTTCCCCAAGCCAAACCAAAGAACAACTTACTGCCTAGCATGTCCAAGAAGCTGAGTGTACTCAGCAATTACTATAATTTCATGCTACCATCAGTATGAAAATGTACTGTGGGGAGACCTATTTTTTAGCTGCTTCTTATACTTTCCTGTAAGTAATTTTTATTGTAATTTTCTGCAATTTTTTCCAGGGTATTGCAGGCACAGATGTTGCAAAAGAAGCTTCTGATATCATTCTTACAGATGACAATTTCAGTAGCATTGTGAAGGCTGTAATGTGGGGTCGCAATGTCTATGACAGTATCTCCAAATTCCTGCAGTTCCAGCTCACGGTTAATGTTGTCGCTGTGATTGTTGCTTTCACTGGGGCATGCATTACACAGGTAAGAATGCAGAGACAAAAGAAAACAGGGATACTAGCCTGATGATTGACTAAAGAACCAAATATTTTTACTGCTTTTCAGCATCTTATTTGTCACTCCTACAGTGCTTTTAGAAAGAAGATTTCCTGGAAATCGTTAATAATAGGTTACAGTCATATCTAGATTTAAAGACAGTATCAGTCATAAACATATGTCCAGAAATATTGCTTTCCATAAAGTGGGGTATATGATTGCTAATATATTCAGTTCAGTTGCATGCAGTCATTTAGAAATAATCTTATCTAGAAAACTTTCTGCTAGTAATGAGAAAATTATGTGTGCTTTAAAATGGATCCCTGTGCTTTCTAATCCAATTAACCATATAAAATAAGTTTTAGCAGCTAGACTTGGGTTTTTCTGGTTAGTTTTTAACCAGAATAATCCATTCTAATTGCTAATTGGAGATATGACTATCCTAGCTCAGATTTTTTTAGCAACAATGTTGAGTTTTACATTCCCATTGGGACAAATGGAGCAAAAACAATTACCCTTTTGCAGTTTAGCAAAGCACTTCTCACTTGCTTAAATACCCTACCAAACTAGTCTACTAACCCTTAGTAATGGAACCAAATGACATGTTTAAATGTTCATTAACAAAAACTCTCCTCACATTCAAAGCAGACTAACGTATTCCTACATGCATTAGTGGTCTGGTTTACCAGATCTCTAAGATCTGCTACAACTAACAGACAGGGGGTGCATCTGCACAACACATGCAATTAATGTGAATTAATAAACATGGGTGCATATCGCACTGGAGGTTATTACTTCTGGGCACTATGTTTATATATGCAACCGGGACCGCAGCATGCTGACCTGGGTTGGAACAGCCCCATTTGGCACAGAGCTCGGGGGTAGGCCTGCCAACCTGGGGCTGCTCCACCCCAAGTCAATATGCTGTGGAGGGGGTGGCTGGGGTACAAGGATGCTCCAATGAGGAGCTAGCCAGCAGGCAGCCCCCTGCATTGTAGCATTCTCATGCCCCATCCAGTGCCATCAGTGTCTACACATGCATTGCTGCACAGAAAAAAATGCTCCCACAGGATAGTACTTGTATTTACAAGTACTAACCTACGGTGGTATTTATTAACTTACTACAACCTATTAGGGCTGCATGTGTAGCTGCAGAGACTTTATTGTGGAGCTAATTACCCAGCTCCACAGTAAACATCTCATGCGGACACACCCAAGGTAATGTAGTTACATCTCTTGCAAAAAGCATGTAAAAAAACCACAAAAATGCCACTTTAAAACCACCACTTCCTAATAAAGAAATACTTCTTAATGCTTATTTTAAATTAAGTTTAATACAGCAATAGGGAAGTATTTTGTATAATTAGTGAAGCATGAGAGGTCTCTTTCTCCAGAAGAAAAAAATCACTGATATCATTTTTAGCATTTTCAGTATGTCTCCAAAAATAACATATTCTTTAAAAGAAACCTATGCTCTATATGGGCACTGTTACAAAATCCTAACACTGACAGAACAGATGGGGAACATCCAGATAAGCATGCCACAAGAGGCACCCTGGGAACAGAAAAATGTTCCCCATCCTGCATATTTGCAGTGTGGACTCTAAATTTGATACCAGGAAATCCTGCCTGAAAGCACATGGGGCACTTGGCAGGGCCTGGCTCTGCTTGACACACAGCCCCTGCATGCAGTGCCAGGACCACAGAGACAGCAAAGAGAAGACCGGTTCTGCCTAAAGGCGCATCCCCCTGGTCCGGGCGTGGCTGTGCCCATGCTATGTGGCACAGGCAGTGCTGAGGCTGAGGTGGCCAGGGCTGTGCCATACTGTTGGAGGGCTCTGCCAGCAGTTGGCCCTGAGAGCCCAACTGCAGGTGCTGCTGCTGCTGCTGTGGGTGGAGGGGGGGGCTGTGAGCCCTGCGGTGGGTGGTTGGGGGACACACCTCTCCCAAGCAGTCCCTTCCACCCCCACACAGTCCCTGTCCACCCATATAGTTCCCACAGACCCATACAGTGTCCCCCCAACCCACAGTGCCCCCATATCCACAACCCCCCAAAATCTACCTGCAAATCTCAAACCCCTAAACCACCCCCCAAACCCTCCATCCACATACCCAGCCACAAACCCCAAACCCCTGAACAAGCCCCATACCCCCCACGAACCTAATCCCTACAAACTCTACACCCATCCCAAACCCCCTAGGCCCCCGACAAGCCCACCCATCCTTCCACACCCCTTCCCCCACATTCCCCCCACAAATCTCACACCCTGCATGGCTAGCTGGCCAAATGATATGGAAAAGAACCTGCTGGCAGGAGCCATGGCTGCAGGGGCGACTGCCACACTGCAGCCCTGCCTCGTGCCCACACTGGTGCTTGGACATGTGGCCCCAGCCTGGGGGGCCTCCTGGTCCCAGGAACCACATGGGGGGTGTGATGGGATGGGAGAAGGGGTGGAAGTGACAGCAGGGGTGTGTGTGACAGAGAGATGGGGGTCAGGGGTGGGGGAGCGCTTCAGGCAGGAGAAGCCCCCAAAGCTGGATTTAGAGCAGCCTGTACAGGGAGAGGCTGGCTTGAAAGGGAAGGGGCTTGCCAAGCCCAGTCCCTGACAATCAGTCAAGGGCTTTCCAGGAATGACGTGGGGATCACTGGAGCCTGGGCACAGGTGCAGGGAGCAGAACAGAAAGAGCTGGCACTGATCAGAGCAACAAAATAGCAGGTGGAACAGCTGTAGGTGGATTCATGTCCTGGTGCTGGGATGGAGTTACTGCCAGGAGGGAGCAGGCAGGGTTGCAGGTTAGGAGTGAGGGGCACTGGCAGGGGGTAGGAGGGGCTGTGGGTTGAGAGTGAGAGGCAAGGGCAGGGGCAGGGCACTGGTCAGCACCTCACATCTTGGTGAGCAAGGGGGGCAGGGGCAGCTCTGATTTTTCTATGAGAAAAAAAAACCCAAAAGCAAATGCCAAAGTGATAGATATTAAGAATTTGTTTATTTTGATGATAGAGGCACAGGTAGGCTTCCAAATTGCTTTAAAATTGTAAATATATCAATAAAACATTGCCCAGCTGATCTGTCTATATGTAGTGGTGTTTCATTTTAATCATGGAAGAACATTGATTTGGGGTATTTTAATGAGAGAATTTGGGTTTTTTATCAGAGAATTTGCAATTTTTAAACAAGGAACACCAGGATCTCTGCTGGTGAGACAAGTGCTGAGACCCGAGCAGAAGAGCCTGCCCAGGATCAGCAGTCAGGTGGAGGACAGATGAGGTGGCTGACTTGGCCATTTGGGGCCAGGAAGACATGCTTTGACAGTTCAATAAGCCACTGCAAAAAGCACAACTTCTGGGTGACAGCTGCCCAGATGTCAGGGTGGGGGCAGGAGAAGACACGACAGCAGTGCTGCACGATGGCCAACTGTGCAGACACGGCCCACTGGAAGCTGGCCCAGAAGTGCAGGAGGCTCTGCTACAGTGTCCATATCACAGCCCAGGTGGCTGTGCAGTCCCCATCCGCATCTGGCAGGAACACAGCCATGAGGCCTTATGCTGTCGCAGGTGCGCAGCAGGTCAGAGCCAGGCAGCAGCCGTCACTGCCAGACTTCTGCAGAGGATAGAGGGTGCAGGGGCCATTCTAGGTTAAGGCTGCTTCAGCAGTCCAGCTGGCACAAGGGCCTGTGTCCCCAGCCAACTGGCTGGACTTCAGAAGACACCTCAGACTGCCTGCTGGTCATTAGCTACACAGTAGGTGTAGACTCATAGAATTGCTATTTGAAACCAAAGACCTAGCCTTTTTTACAAAACTGAGAAATATTTAACTCATCCCCAGTTACTCCTATAAATTAATAGGTCTCAAATCTATTTGGTAAGGTATGGAGATGTTGTATGTTTTTCCTACTGGATCTGGTTAGCAACGTCAGAACAAGTGGACACTGTTGTCCTTGTTAAGTTCTTCTGAAATATGTGAGCATAGGACTGTTATCAGTTCTAGTCTCTTTGGAGGGAACAGGAGTGCCTCCAAACACTTATTTGCATAAGTGAAATAGCTGCTGTATGTTCCCAGTAGTAGTCTAAGTCCCCTAGCTCTCTTGGACCTGCTAAAGCTGGTGCCCCTCTACAGTACCTTCTGCTTGTTTATGTTTTACTGTGTCTGTGGTGACTGGAGTGGCATCATCATGGATATGAAGGAAACAGAGGTTCAATTACTTTGGTTTTTTCTTTCAAAGTATACATAGGGAGAATATTTAGCAGGAAAGGATCATGGCTAGTAACTTAAAATATGTATGAACAGTAACTAAAATATGGCAACTATTTATGCAACCTAGAACACAACAGCAAACAATCTGGAACAGAAATTATTATTTTCATAATATCATGGTAATGATGTTGTGGTTAAAACTGAGATAGTAATTTCCCTTTGAATACTTTTTATAGTCAATCAATAGTAACTGCTGCAGCAAATTCCTTTTAGGATGATTTTTTTGATAATTGGTTTCCAGTATGTTTTTCCTATTAGTTTTGGGAGCCTGACAGAAAATTAATGCCGTTTCCTTAAAAGGTATAGTTCCCCTTTGCATTTATTGAAGTCAAACATCATTGCACAGCTAGTCATTTTTTTCCTGTCTAGTAACACTTGTGCTACCAGACATTTATAATATAAAATAAATTATAAACTTCTCAAACAATGTGCTGAGCATACACAGAAGTGTGTATTCCTGCCACCAATCATTCAGGGCACAGACAGAAGTGCAGCTCCCTGTTGTAACGCATGGCACATCACAGAAAATGCCATGAGTTACAACTATCCCGCAGACCCAACGAACATTCACTGTTGGGTCCCAGGGGTTGGCAGATGAGCTGCAGTTTAGAGCAGTGGTGTTTCTGCAGCTGCTGTCCCCTAGCAATGCCCCTCCCTCCTCCTAGCCCCTGCACTGTTTTCAGAATTGGAGGGTGGGAAAGAAGCAGAGGGAGCTCATTCTGGGGGTTCCCCTGG